GCCACCCCCACCCCCGCTCCCGCTCCCACGCTCCACGTCTCATTCATCACACTTTACAAAACAATTATTGGACTGCTGGAACAATGAATCTGGAGTAATTTGGTCAGAAATTCCCAAAGGCTGTAAATATCCAGCTTCCCCTTTCAAGAGAACAATAATCAATACAACTGGAAGAAAGAATTTCGTAAATTATGCATCTATACTTGTTGAAGAACTAATATCATTGCGTTTAATATTACATAAGCCTTATGAAACAATTAAAAATATTACTCTGAATAATAACATTTCTTAAAATTAAAGTAATTGCAGTAGGTTTTTATGGTTTTATAATTACCACATGCTGTAACAGATGAGTTTTTAAAAAAATCCTTAGTTTTTTAAATTCACGATTAAAATAGTTTTCAGATTGAAAATATGGAGGAAATGTTTTCGCGAAACCTAGCATATAATCTTAAAATTGTCTCTCCAAATAAGGCGAGACCAACATTTCTTTTCAAATGTTTTCTTTTACAAAGGGAGCGTCCGACTACGTAAGAGTGGGGGTAAAGGTTGTCAGCAACTGAATCATTCACGTTAAATTCGCGTATTTGTGTCAATACATGAACAAATTATAAGCACATTGAAATACATCAGAATCACATTAAGAATAAAAATAGTACATCATCTCTTTTCTAGTTTTCTACAATCTAATAGTAATATAAAAAATATACATACTTAGTATCAGCAACAAAGACTAAGTAAATCCAGAATAATCTAAGTAATGCATGCAGACTATAACCAATGCGAGGGTGAAACTGTCATAATTTAGGACAGCAAATAATAGTTCACGAAATTATAATTATTTTGATTTAATTTTATGTTCTTCTAAATAATCATTTTAACAAGTCCATAGAGCAATACAGTTAACATTACTGGATATTTACCATTGAACCTTCCACAGAAATATCACAGAAATATCACAGAAATACCACAGAAATATTACCAGAATAATATCCTCTTGAGAGGAAATACGCTTGCACAATAAATATCTCTGGGTTTTAGTGCGGTATCTCGCTTACAGAAAATGTTTTTCAAAGTAGTAGTAAGACAACTCATCAAAGACAAAATAGATAGACATTTTATATTGTCCTTGCGTAAACTGAATACAAATTGCCCACTCTTTGATTGTTTAATATACGTATTTTGCATAGAATTTGCTTTATGACTATTTAGAAGAAATAATTAACCATCAAAATCGATTATAATAACTTCGAAAACTTTCCTTTATTTGATAAACGTTTTCCAATTAGACAGCTCTCGCACCCAGGCACAGAAATTTCAAGTGCATGAACGTCGTCGTAACTAAATCTCTAGTGCAATATATGTATATTCGAATGTAAGAAAAAAATCTACAAGCATATCAGTCAATGGAAATGCCTTACCAGTTTTTGTCCTCTAACGCAAAACATTGCAATGTAAACATGAGAAAACAAACACAGGTATAAGATTCTATACAAAAAAGTCAAATATTAAAAATGAGCCTCTAATTTGTGACAACAGTCCAACACACCTGAAACGTCGTTCCACTAAGTCAAACATAAAACAATCTCACCGAACGTTACGACATCTGGAACACAAACTACCGACACACTTCTAAGCTATGGTCAGACACCGCTTGCCGGATGCTGCTCCAATGTTTCAGAACAAAAGTTAAAGCTTAGGACATTGTGGCTGTGTTCAAATACGTTATTATTTTAGAGTGTTATATTTTAGGAATGGTTTCCCATAAAAGTAATCAGAAGATTAACAAAAAATGGTATTGTCTTTATGTAGTTCAAAATTGAGTGAAGGCGAATATACAGGGATTAATTTTTTTAAATTGCTGAGTCATTTTAAATAATGACAAGCATTTTAATATTTATATTTATCCATCTCAAATTTTCAACAATGTCGGTTGAGAAGACTTAATTATTGCACTAAAATAATTATAATTTGTTAAGCTAAAAACAACTCAAACTATAAAATATAAATTTGAGTACGAATTAATATCGTAGTAAAATATTTATTTTTGAATCTTTATTTTCCCAATTTTTAAATAAATGCAAAAATCTCAACAAAAATATGAAAAACATTCTAGAAAACACAGAAATCGGTATTCACATTCCGTTTCAGTTAAGATAGTAAAATTTTCTTGCACATCACTGATTGCAATTTTTCACTGCAGCAAAATTGGTGATCAAAAGTGGTTAATGGAACTATATAGTTATTTTGTCACAGACTTTAGCTAACAGAAAGCTTCGTGAGTCAGGACTCCCGCCAATTTTTCTCAAATTCTTGGCACCGAGAAGCAGCAAAAGGCTTGCGGCCTGCCCGGGAAGAACACGCACGGACAGCAGTGCATCGAATGATCAGCTGTGAAGGCGGTGCGAAGGAGCCTATTCTAAGCTAGATCTATTTTATCTAGTGGAGACGACTCGTTCCTCTAAGTGGGACTGGTGGCTAGTTGACTCCGGTATCGGTAGATACAATAAGAAGAAGTACAAGAAGTCAAAGACACAGAAGTTGAAAACACGGAGAAAGTAGAAAACGGGTTAGAAAAGAGACAGAGCCACATCGAGACAGAGAGAGAGAGAGAGATAAAAAGAAAAGAGTGCGGGTGAGTAAGAGCGAAGCATGCGACAGGCAGCCATCTGCATGAGCAGAGAGGTGGACGCGAGTTCGGAGCCCGGCGCCCGCCGTCGGGGCGGCTTGTGACTAAACGCGAACCGCAGGCGACTACGCCGGCTGGCCGCCCCCGCCCCCACTCCCACTCCCACTCCCACTCCCACTCCCACTCCCGTCCATCCACCCACGTTGCTTGACGATCCACCCAGACTCCTTGTGCACGAACACATTATTTTTGTATTTTTCTCATTTCTTGGGTGGATTCAGAAGTTTTATCTGTTATTTTTCGTCATATACCCCTTTCAAATTTAAGGTCCTCTCCTTCTGTTATTTGCATCTTGTTCTGTACCCAATCTTCCGCATTTTCCTCCCTACAAGAAAAGCATTTTTAATTATCCAATATTTTCTCAGGCCGTACTCAAGATTTTCCTTGTACGGTTATATTCCTCATCTCATCAACTGCACGATGGTAAAAATACTCTTATGAAAAATATAAGAAACAGATCTTCCTCTCTTTTTGTTTTCCTAATATTTGAAATTAATAATTATTTTATTCGCCCTACCATGAGATAAAGTACGAGTGTAACACATGAGAAAACGAATACTTTTTGTACTTAAGTGATTTGAAAAGAGACATTTAACAATATTTAATGTTTCGAATATAAAATCTTGAACAAAAACATATTTACGAAAACTATTTTAAAATACTAATATTAATAGTACACCAGAGATATCATACTTGTAATCAGAATTTATGTGCAATTAGGCAATTTATGTGCAAGTGCTTGAGGCAGTAACTCGGCAAGCCACATCAGCCATAAGGAGTTTTCCTTTATTTTTAAATGTTAGTACCTCAATTTTGGTGAAAGCATGGCTTATCTTTTTCTATATTTGACTTGTTTATATTTACGACGGGCTTATGGAAGTAACAAGGCGAGAGACTTCGACCAAAATCGAGATACTGACATTTACGAATAAGGAGAAACCCTTTATGGTTGAAGTGACTTACCTTGTTACTGGTGCAAGTCCTTCAAATGAGGATAAAAATATGCCCGATGTAAGAACCCAATGACGTCTTTACACAGGGTGTACTCGTGTTCGTTGCAGTTCATTGGCTCCGCCCTCCTCTCCCGCCCCTCCCCCCCCTCCACCCGTGCCTGCGCGTCGGGGGCGACCTGTCCGCCGGGCTTCGGCTCGTGGGGCTACCGGGCGAGCGAGCGGCTACTGCTGCGCTGCGCGGGGCGTCGCGTCGCCGCGCCTTGCTGCGCGCCAACTGCGCAGGCGACTGCGCGGCGGCGCGCGGCACGCGACCAGCTTCACTTACGCGGCGCAGAGCCCTCGGGGAACGGGCTATGCTCGGGCCCGAAAGTTATGCGCGGGACTGTGAGGAATTGTCTCTTTACGGGCCAGTGCTGGCGGTGGTGTTCATGGTGATGGTGGTGGTGGTGGTGTTGGTAGTGGTGGTGCTGCTCCTGCTGCTGCGACGCCGCCGTCGACGATGGCGGCTTCGACGACGACTGCGAGTGTGGCGGCGGCAGCGACGAGGGCGACGCTCTGGCCAGCGGAGACGGCAGCAGCCTGCACGCCGCGCCGCCCGCCCGCCTGGCCGCCAGGGGACCACTGCTGTTGTGGGGGGTTGGTAACACTGACAGGGTGGTGGGGTTTGGCTCACCTGTGTGCCGAAGAAAAAAAGAAAAAGGGTCCCACAAACATATAGACATGTGCTGAGACAGTGAAGAAGGGGGCGGTGGCGGAGAGACTGTAGACTGTGGCTCCCAGAGCGCACAGAGGAAAAATAAACTTAAAGAAATAATAAAAAAAAGGTGAGTGCCGAATGTTGCTCAGGCGAAACGACGAGGCCCACTACAGAGGACAGTGAAATTTCGCGACTAGCAGCGAGACAACTTTTGAAGCAACC